TTAGTAATCAAATTTTTCCCTAGAAGACATGTACTTGAAGCGTCATATTCCTCGAAAATATTTAGTTGAAACCAAATTTCGCGTACTCAGTAAAGAACGAAATTAATTCGTTTTGCTGAATTTTGGTTTTAGAATATAAAAATAATATTAAAGCAGCTACGTATTTATACGTATTATGCTTTTTTCTCACGTGTATGTTGGAAGTCAAAAAAATTTATTTCAAAGTAGGGATTTCCATCGTAGTTATCTAATCTTTTTGCCTTTATTAGTTGATCTAGAAGTCAGTCGTTTCAAACAAAATTTTATTACTTTTAAATATATTTAACATTTTTAATTCTAAAATGTCATTTTGGCATCCCGTGAATGCTTCTTTAATAGTATGATGTATCGAGAAATCATTTCAGAAGAATAAATACTGTTTTTGAAAATCTAGTGTAATTTGAAAACAAGTGTAGTTTAAAATTCCTGGATATTTTTACAAACTTTTATAAATAATTGATTAATTGTATAATATATGCCTTCATCTGATCTAATTGATAGAAAGATCAGTCTGGTTTTGATATAATAAGTCTAGTTTTTATAGAACTTTTAACTAAATAAAGCACTTAATATTCAAAAATAGTTACGTTTAGATGGTACTTTTTATTATAGAATTTCAATGATGTTTTTTAATTACAGAATTTCTCTCTTTGCTTCATTTGCACATATTTCATCTTAATAATGCAGTAGTAATTCTTAATATAGTGCAAAAAACGCTTCATTTTGCGTTTCTAGCACTAGAGATGATTTTATTATCAAATTCACTTATAAACAAGGCACCATCATACTACACAAGCCTTGAAAAATAAAGTAATAATTGGGCGATATTTTTTCAAATGTAATTAATATTATTTTAATTCAAAAATGAACTATTCTTGTGCTGAATAACTTTCAGTTTAATTTGCCTTATTTTATAAAATTTTGAAATAAAAGCATTTAATGATTAACTATTGTTACTGTTACATATCCTTAACAAGGCCGTAAGACAGATCAATAATAACGCAATATTGTAATTCGAATCTTTGATTGCATTTGATGAACCATTACAACGATCTCCATGGCATGTGCACAGCTGTACATCACCAAAAATTGGATGAGGTTGCTTACGATCCAAATTATACAAATGTGCCCGGGGTAGATTACGGCACTGATCGATCTGCAAATGATTATTCTATTCAATTTTCATGATTATCAATCATAAAATTGTGATTATTCTAGCTTTCAAAAAAATTTATTGATTTCTTTCACTTTTTTCAAAGTTTTTACCCAAAAATATTATCCTTTGTAATGGTTTTTTTTGAAATTTGAGACCACTGAGATGAAATATCATCTAAATGAGCAAAGTG